GGGAAGGCCTCGGCCTCTATGCCCTGTTGTTGGGCCCTCCAGAGGAACTGGTTGGCAAGAAGAAGAAGAGGAGGAGGAGGAGATTGGATTTATACCCTGCCCTTCACGCAGAGTCTCAGAATGGCTTACAAACTCCTTTCCTTTCCCCTCCCCACAACAGACACCCTGTAAGGTAGGTGGGGCTGAGAGAGCTCTTGACAGAAATTGCTCTTTTTCAAGAACAGCTCTTATCAGAACTACGGCTTGCCCAAGGTCATCCAGCAGCTGCGAGCAGAGGAGTGGGGAATCAAACCCGGTTCTCCCAGACCAGAGTCCGTGCACGTAACCACTACACCAACCTGGCCACAGTGTGAGGGAGGATGCTAGACTCAATGGACTATTGCTCATATCCAGCAAGGCTCTTCTTGTTTCTTATGAAGGCCTCGGCCTCTATGCCCCACTGAGGAACTGGTTGGCCACAGTGTGAGACAGGATGCTGGACTAGATGGACCGCTGGTCTGATCCAGCAGGGCTCTTCTTATGTTCTTATCAGAAGGGAAAAGCAGAAAAAGTCCCATTTTGCCAAGTCTACAGATATTTGTTGGTTTATTTCCCCCCCCCCCCTGCCAATAGGCACATCAGAACACAGTCCTGTGAGGTTTTCACTTCATTATTTGTTGTTAGATTAAGGGAGAAGGGCGAGACGGGCTGACCTGCCAAGTATTGCCAACAGCCCGTGCTAGACCACCATCAAGTTTCCACCTGTCAAGACTCATTTCTCAGCTTCGTCTTGCCGAACCGGAGTAAGGGACAGCTGATAATTCTGCTGATTGGATCGTCCTTGTTTGACCCAGCAATCCCTGGAAAATAAACTGGAGGAGACCGCTGATGGTGCGGTTGACACTTCTTGCCCCAAGCAATTTCATCGTCTCCTCCGGGGAGCTCCGTTTCCCCAAACCTGTTTCTGGAGCTTAGTTTCTTCGTAACCCACATCCCGAATCAGTTCCTTTGGCCTGCTGCCTGACCTGAATTCTTCCGTTGCCCCCAGTTACAGTCACGTGGGAGGGATGCTGGACATGCCATGGGAGGACTGGTGAACCTACCTTGAAGAGAAGAAGAGAAGAAGAAGAGAAGAGATTGGATTTATACCCCACCCTTCACTTGGAGTCTCAGAGCGGCTTACAAACTCCTTCCCCTCCCCACAACAGACACCCTGTGATGTAGGTGGGACTGAGAGAGCTCTTTCCAGAACTGTCCTTGAGATAACAGCTCTGAGAGAACTGTGGCTTGCCCAAGGTCACCCAGCAGCTGCAAGCAGAGGAGTGGGGAATCAAACCCGGTTCTCCCAGATTAGAGTCCGCACACTTAACCACTACACCAAACTGGCTCCAGAGCTGGTCTGGTCTTCTTGCATTTGAGGGATTTCAGTGCTGATTGGGTATACCAGCCCCATGAATTTACATACAGCTCCTTTTTGCTCCAATGAGAGGCTTTCCCTCACTGTAATCCATGAGATAATTTCCTTCTGGTTCACCTGTTAAACCCCCCCCCCCCATTGAAGCCGGCCCTGCTCTGGGGGGCGTATAGGGTCGTTCCCATTTTCATTCAAGACTGATGGCTCACAGAACAGGTCCCAGACTTACAGGGCTTTGGGGACAAGCCTAAGCCTATCTACTTGGAAGTAAGTCCCATGTCAGTGGTCCAGCCCGGTTTCAGCATGTTGTTTCCTCAGGTTATTTGGATGCTGTCTTGCTGTGGACTTAAATTGCATCAACTCGAACACTGAGAAAATCCGGAGTGGCGGGCAAATGCGGGAAGGACCACACACTCTCTAAATAATCCATTTTCAATCCACTTCCCAACTGGATTTTGCTGTGTGAACTGGCAAAATCCAGTTGGAAAGTGCATTGAAAGTGGATTGTTTAGTGTGTGTGACCACAGCCTCAGTGGGTCCTACTGCCAGGAAAGTGCCCTTAGGATCTCAGCCTCAGTTGCCAAACCGCTTACTAAAATAACCCTCCAAGGCTATTTTATCCCTTAGCGGTGTTGCACACATTTAAGTCTAATTTTTGGTAAGGAGAAAAACTTGTCTGGCAGGCCACCTAGATGGAGAGTGGTGAACCATGTCTGGGCTTGCCTGGGCTTTGCCGGGCAGGCCACCTAGTTGGAGCTTGAAGCCCCAGAACAAAGGCAGGCAGGATCCTGGAACCTTGCCTACGGATTGGCCCCTGAGGGCAGGCAGCCAATCTGGAGCCTGGAGGTCATTTGAACTCACCAATCGCATGGGGGCTGGGAGTGACTTAACTATTTAACAGACAGGACCTCTGAGCTGGGAGTACAGAATTCCCATGGCTTGGAGCATTCTGGGGCCATGAGAAGCCAGGCTATCCAAGTGCCCCATTCTGCTCTCGTGCAGGAGCAAGAGAAGAAGGACCCCGCTCGTCACCACCCAAAGGAGTCTCAGAGTGGCTTACAATCACCGTCCCTCCCCCTCCCCACAACAGACACCCTGTGAAGTAGGTGGGGCTGAGGGAGCTCTGAGAGAGCTGTAACTGACCCAAGGTCACCCAGCTGGCTTCATGCTGGAGGACTGGGGAATCAAACCCAGCTCTCTACATTAGAGTCCGCCGCTCTTAACCACTACACCACACCGGGTCTCCAGCCAGCCTATGGGTGCGAGCTGACAGTTCACATCTCAAGGCTTCAGCAACTACCAGGAGCCTCTCTAGGATTCTAAGATTGCTTATTTCAACTCTTTACTTGTCTGGACATCATAGCAAGTGTTCTCCTGCAGGCAGTATGGGAAAACTCACAATATTTTCCAGTTAAGGAAACGTTTTAGAGAATTAACTTTCTTAGGAACACCCTCCCCGCCGCTCTGTGCCCTTAAGTATTGTTAAGTCCCTTCTCTTTGTGTGTTGGGTGGGTTCTCTCTCTCTCTCTCTCTCTCTCTCTCTCTCTCTCTCAATGTTGAGACAGGCCTGTAGCTAGGATTTTGTGGCTTATGGGGCAATTCTTTTTTTCCAGGTGGGGCCGAAGTTCTCAGTGCAGAAAGAAAAGCCATTTAGCCGACAGAAAGCCATTACCAGGATAGATCTCTAAACTGCAAGCTGTCGACCACTTTAGGTGACAGTTCTCAGCTGCTGCAAGTTAATCACTTCTGCCAGCTGAAGCAACAGTTCTGATAACAGTTGAGAGGGAGCAGTGAAGGAGAAGTAAACCCCACTGAATTTGTTTTTTTTATTTTAATTTTAAAAAACTTTTTTTAATTTTAACTTGTTTTTTAACCTCTCTCTCAATGTTGAGACAGGCCCGTAGCTAGGATTTTGTGGCTTATGGGGCAATTCTTTTTTTGCAGGTGGGGTGGAAGTGCTCAGTGCAGAAAGAAAAGCCGCTTCAGCAAAAAAGGAGGGCGGGATAAAAGTCAAATAAATAAATAAATAATTTAGCCAACAGAAAGCCGTTACCAGGATAGCTCTCTAAACTGCAAGCTGTTGACCACTTTAGGTGACAGTTCTCAGCTGCTGCAAGTTAATCACTTCTGCCAGCTGAAGCAACAGTTCTGATAACAGTTGAGAGGGAGCAGTGAAGGAGATGCAAACCCCACTTAATTTGGGGTTTTTTTAAATTCGTATTTAACTGTTCTCACTGTTTCCCTTCTCTCTTTGCCTTCTTAATTTTTGTATGTCGTGTGTGTGTGTGTAAAAAAGGGAGATTTCTGCAGGGTGCCGCACAGAGTTGCCAACTCCAGGTTGGGAAATTCCTGGAGATTTTGGGGGTGGAGTATGGGGAAGGCAGGACCTGAGGAGGAGAGCTCAGCAGGGTACAGGGCCATCCGGTCCACCCTCGAAGCCAAATCAACCATTTTTTTTCTCTCCCAAGGAACAGATCTCTATAATCTGGAGAGCTATCGTAACTCCAGGAGATCTCCAGGCCCCACCTGGAGGCTGGCATCTGTAGTCCTGGAGTAGTTTGCCACAGCCCTGGGCGAAGCTGTAATTAATTCTCCTCCTTCCCCAGAATTTCTCCCTAAGTACAAGAGCAGAAACCAGAGAGAAAGGTTCTAGCCAGTGTTCCCTCGGAGCTGAGTTAGCGTGAGCCAGCTCACAGTTTTTTAGCCTCCAGCTCACAGATTTTTCTCTCCGCTAAGGACGGAGGGCTCCAGAGCAGACTAATTTATGCAGCAGCCAAATCGCTCGCTCACAACTTTCATGCCAGGACCTCACAAGGTAGAATTTTTGCTCATATGACTCTGCAGCTTAGAGGGAGCCTTGGCTAGCCTGGATTTATCCCTCACATGTTTGTTTTACACGTAGAGGATTTGGGAGGGAGGTAAAGCTGGAACATTCTTTTCTTGCAGCCAGGGATGCCAGCCTCCAGGTGGGACCTGGGGATCCCCTGGAATTACACCTCATCTCCAGCCTACAGAGATCAGTCCCCCTGCAGAAAAACGGAGGTTTTGGAGGGTGGACTCTGTGGCATTGGGCCCCACTGATGTCCCTGTCCTCACCAGGCTCCATCCTCAAATTTCTAAGAGTTTCTCAGCCTAGATCTGGCAACCCTTCCCCCTCCATCGCCTGCTAGTGGCCAAGGGGGACCTAGAAACCCCAAGGAGAGCTGACATACCACCTCAAAGAGTTCTAAGACTTACATAGTCGTGTTGCATTGGAACAGAGGACTGCAAGAACATACATACATATTAGCGATGTGTAACTGATTGGTGCATTTCCAGTACGAAATTATGCAACTGGCAAGTTTGGGACTTTCCACGTCTCACATTCATCTTCACAGCTCCAAGTAGCAAAAATCCAAAGCCCGGAAGGTGAGCTGCCAAAGATTTCTGTGTCTGCGACCACCGATTTCTCCCAGTAATAACACCGAAAGCAGGAGCAAAGTCTGCTAACCAGTTTTCTGCAGTGCACAGGGCTGAGCTGTTTGCAAACTGGTTGCTCCCATCTGTTTTTTTAAGACTTTCCTCCCCCCCTAAAAAAACCCAAAACACCTTATTTGTTTCGATCCAGGCTATCATGGCTCAGCTTCCCCAGGAGGAAAAGGCTAAAATTGCAGAGCAAGTTGAGATCTTCCACCAAGAGAAGAGCAAACTGGATGCTGAGGTGGCCAAGTGGGACGACAGCGGCAACGATATCATCGTCCTGGCCAAGCAGATGTGCATGATCATGATGGAGATGACGGACTTCACGAGGTACGTAGCTGGCTTCACCTTCTCCGTGCAGGAGTGGTGTGACAAGGAGTGAGGCAACTCGCTCACGAGCAGGAGGCAGAGGAGGGGCGGCTGCAGGCATGCACGGGTTCCTGCCGTTGGTCTGGAAGCATACGGGTCACCGGGCCTGCCGATGCTGTACAAGTGAGATAGTATGGATGCAGGAGGGGTCAGCACAACAGTAGATTCAGGGCAGACAGACGGAAGTACTTTTTCCACATGGCCTGTAATTGCTGTTCTCAACATCCCGCCAACGAGGTACGGATGGTCACTAGTTCAGATAGCTGTACTGGCAGGGCTGCCAAATTCCTGGAGATTTGGGGGTGAAGCCTGAGGAGGGCAGGGTTTGGGAAGGGAAGGGACCTC